ACAGTAAATGCGCAGGATGGCAAGGAATGCAGTGCTCACGTGTGTAGCACCATCTTCTAGGGCCTTGACAACTTCAGTATGCAATCTTTATAGTTCTTTCCAGACAAGCTCCAAATTTGTGTTTTTACTTTAAAGCTTCACATTTAGGCATGCTGCCACAAATTTCAGAAAATGAAAACAGCCATATGAACACAACAAAATTTTTGACCAAATCACATTAAACTCACTTGGCAAACCCAGAATAAAGTGTGCAGTTGTCTTATTTGCCCACAGACCCTCCTCCTGAGGACCTACTCATTTCTAGAAGCACCCTGCCCTCCTAGACCACTGTAGTGAGAGCAGCTGTGAAACCCAAGCACAAATTACATCAGGGTTTACTGAAACCAAAGTTGAAATGCATACCCAGCCCTATTACCTGTGCATGTAGAAATACTTCTCTCCTCACAGTGCCAGTCTCTTGTAAATCAACACTTTTAAACATCATACCTGGAACTGAAGCTACCTTTACAGCAGACTTCATTTAACTCTCTTGGCAAAAAACTTGCTTAACTAGCAAAAAACAGCGCTGGTATTATTTAGACAGAAAGACCCTTCAGAATAGTCTTCCCTCATTATTTTTGGAATAATATCCTAATTATTTTCAGAAAATTTAGAAATTTAGAGTTGTGGTTGAAACTAATGACAACAATTTAAATACTCCTATACCTGCCCCAGAATTTCATAAGTTAGAACCATTTTTTCCCAGTTTCTTTTTTCCTCATTCATTTGTGTGGTACCTTGTTCTATAACTTGCTTCAGAGAGCCCGGCAGCTGTCTAGAGACATATCACTGTGGCACAGGGATAGAATCACACACAGCATAAACGTATGAACCACGGGGCAAGTGACTGTCTCCCCCAGGTGCCTGTTTGGTTCCTACGAAGTACTGTAACTTGTCTAACAGAAGAGTAGCCATCTGGATCCCTGGGTCACACAGAGCCATGAGAAAACATATGCACCTTCAATGAGAAAAGCGCACTCACTCCTACTTCTTCCAAGGGAAATAAAGCCCTGCACACTCACACGCTTCACACTCACGGAACATGTGAAATGTGCCATTTGGACTTACAGCATAAAAGCAAGAGGTAATCACAAACGCTCCCAAACGAGATCTCACATTAGACATTTTTATTTTTAGGTCCTATTGCTCTTGACAGTTACAGTGGGTTCATTTCCTGCATGAGCCCTGATTACTTTCTTTGATGAATGGGATTATAGAGTCTAAAGAAAAGACAGAACTCTGACATACGCATGTTTGACAGAGAGCTCTGCAGTGCCTGGAAAGACTGGAACAGTCTCAACATAAAAATCAGAACAATATTAAAACAAAATTTGACAACATAATGGCTTTGACCCTGAGAGTTCCTCTATCCACCAGCACTGATCTGCTGGAACGACAGATAAAACTGATACAGAAAATGGTCCCGGGATGGAGAAGACGATGATCGTGGTGTTGCCTGGTCAGTGTCTTCTGCAGTCATGGACAGAGAGTACCGCTGAGTTTTAATCAAGGACGAAAACATTATTCTTGATGATGTAGACTTCGTCTTCTGCTGGGCTTTGCTGTTCCAAAGCTTGATTTCGAGGACGCATCCACAAAACCTTGCTGCAGAAAGAGGTGTTGGAGAAGAGCAGGAGTGAGAGAAAAGCAAACGGCTTCTACAGTGTGAGCAGTGCTTGTATTTAAGATACAGCAAGATTGGCTATTTGTCACTCATGTAACTCAGACACAGGCAGATCTGTGTAGAGACATCCACAAAGGATGACTAGGAATAACAAACAGTGGCCTAGTGGGCCTTGATTTCAAATCCAAGAAATGACCTTGGGTAAAGTCCACCTGAGCCAGTGAAGCAGGACAGTTGGCTTCTCACGGACAATCAAAAAGATTAAGCTGTAATTGAAAGATCTTCACAAGTATAATAAGTTTAAGGGTCTAGAAAGCCAGACGACCGATGCGAAGGATGAGCTGCTATGGAGCAGTGTGAAGCAGTGGGAGCTGTGCGTAACTGGAGGCTCCTGCCCCACCTCAGGGCCTTTGTACTTCCTGCCCCTTCAGCGAGGAATGACTTCCTCCAAAACTGTTCCCTGCGGCTCAGGCAAATGGCCTCTTCCCTGTTCTATGTTTCTCATGGTGTTTGTATGGAGACACCCAAAAGGACCTTATTTATTTGCTTACATGTTTTGTTTTCTAAACCAACTTGCAATATAATAGATACTCAATAGACAATAAAAGCCTTGAACAAAGTGTAAAAGCAAAGCAAAATGATTGATTGAATATACAGTTCTATCAAGGAAAATTTGTAGTATAGTTCTTTTACTCTAAGAGTAGAAAAAACTCTTTCGGTGCCAGTTCTGCCACACCTGGAGGGAAATACAGAAACTCAAAGCACTGCCGGGAGGTTTGAATAACAAGAGACGTGCACATGGAATGAAATATTCAGGATTCAAAGGAAAGAATGGGCCAGGGCTGGTGGCAGAGGCCTGTAATCTCAGTTCTTTGGAGGCTGAGGCAGGAGGATTGCTGCAAGTTCGAGGCCAGCCTGAGCTACAAAGTGAGAGTTCAAGCCCAGACTGGACTCCATAGTGAAATCCTGTCTCAAAAAAAAGGAAAGAAAGGATAGCTCAGGGGGAAAAGGGGAAGGCAACTAAGCATAATTGCTTTTTATTTTTACTACAGGAAAAACATCAAAAAGTGTTGTGATAAGCCATTTCAAACTTACCTTAGTGTCAGTGTCCTCCTTTTGCCGATGAATCTCTCTAGGTAGGGGTGGAGGAGGCCAGAAAAGAGTGGACAGGAAAATTAAACACGTTAGCAAAAAAGTTCATGGTATGTGCTTCCAGCCAAGGGTTCTGTGTGTTAGCATTTGAGCCCTTCCCTGGTAACTCCAGCTAATTCTTCCCTGCAGCCCCATCTGAGCCCACAGAAACCCAAACCAGCTCTGTAGTGCTCAGTACCTCATTTTTATTAATGTTGAGTATGTTCACCCACGTACCCTGACTTGTTATAATGAAATTGTTAAATTGTCCTTTATTTCACACAAAGTGACAGCTTACAGTTTTCTGAATTGGCAGCTGGAGATCAGACGCAAACCCAAGGTACTCCCAGGCTACCTGGGACAGAGTGTTTTATCTTCTGTACAGCAACGTTTTTTGCCTGCCACCACCTACTCAAACTTATTTCTTAGTATTTAATTATTTGTTCAATTACTAATTTAAATTTAAGTTTTCTCTATGTGGGGGCAGGAATTGAAAAATAAAGGGCAAATATAAGCAACAATGGTATTTAGTGAAACCTCCTCTAGAATGTAAGCACCATGAGATGAGGAGATCCTGTAGATGGCAAGAAGATCTTTTCTAAAATAATAACAACTTAGGACCGCGGTGCATTTCCCATATACCAGAAATCATTCTCGGTGCTTTATACGTACTAACACCGCACTTGAGAAATAGAAGTTTCTACCCTGTGCACTTGACTGCCGAGGATTTGGGGACAGGGAAGTTGTGTGGAACCAAAATGACCTAGCACATGGAGCTGCCGTACTTGAACGTAGGCATTTGGCCATAGACCCCTTGCTCTAGTCCCTTAAAAACAATCTTGAAATGACTTACTTTTGACAATGATGACAACCAAACTAATGAGCAAAAGCAAGCTAGAAACAAGGATTCCAACATAGAGTCTTTTAGCGTCGACTCGTTTGTGTTGTGCTGGAAACTCCTGGTGAGGAAACATCAATAAGTTAAAAAAGCATCTTCTTAGAGTTATGAACAGAGAACATTTCCTAGAATAGCTTAACCTTACTGCATTGGCCCTTGGCTACTTTTAGACCAAAGATAAGACCAAATTACCTTAAACCTCAGACCACATGATTGGAGGATATAAACCTATAGAGAAATTCTAAAAATTTGAAATTCAAACTGTTTTTGGGATAATAGAAATAGTTTCTATTTTGCTTAAGACAGTATTTACATAGGTATATACTTTGGCCAAATCAGAATTACACATATAAACTGAGCATATATGTAATGTATATAAATTACATATGTTTTAAAATACCAGTAGTTCATTTCTGTAACTATACAATCTTATAAGAAAGAATTCATTTTCATGAATTATTTGATTTCATTGGCTGTTATCTGAATGTACTTACTGATTGAATTTAGCCTTTGATCTAGTACTTAACTTTCGCAAAATGTAATATAAATTGGGTGTGGCTGGTACGCTAACGTAATCCCAGCATTTTGAGATAGAAAGATTGCAAGTTCAAGCCCACCCTGGACAACTTAGCAGAGCAAGACTCTGACTCAAAATTTTAAAAAACAAATTTTAGAAGGCTAGACATATAGTTCAGTGTGTATAGAAGTGTGTTCAATGCCCAGAATGGCATTCAATCAATCAATCAATGGATAAAAAAATAAGTAAAATGGAGTACAAGACTCTACCTGTATTATAGAGACTGGGAAATAACTGCCCACGGACATGACCCTGATAGAGCATTGGAATGCTGTGTAATGAGGTAGAAACTGCGTGTGTGAATGCAGTGTAGATTATAAGAGACTCCTAGACTCCTGGAATAAAACTGAAACATCCCAGGCATTATGTGAGGCCCCTTTTCATAGCTTAGCTCTAACCCTAAAGAGATCCCGTAGAACAGGTATTCTAACAAAAAGAGAGAGGAACATCAGAGAAAAAGACCAAAAGACCAAGTCTTTTCCTACATAAGAGCTTAATCTCAGCTTAGTCACTGTGTGACCCGGGACAAGTCACTGAGCCCCTCTGCACTTCTGCTTCTGCGGCTGCGCACAGCACGTTCCCTGAGGCTGTGGGGTGAGACGCCTTTAGCTGCTCCTTGGGAATCCTCTGAGGAGCAGACGGGAGGTAACAACACAGGCATCGTCCTCGCTTAGGAGGGGCACAGCCACGGCCTGGGCGGGAAGAGCTGTGCTGCTGCCTTGCTATGGGGGAAGGGGAGCACACGGGTGGAGAGTGGGGTCTCAGGAGACGGGCTTTCATTCTGTTCTTTACATTGTATCACCAAATACCGCATGTTCATTTCAGAGTATGCAGCCAAGAAGGGAAAAAGGAAAACTAAAGGCAACCATTACCCGACACCCACACACAAGCATTATAACCATTTTTGCCACATACACTCTTCTAGAGTTTGTCCTTCTAGGATCTTTAAGGGCACATAGTTAGCCATTAGCAGGCCTAACGGGGCTTCAAAGATAGAGGGGGTTCAAAGTAGCACCCTCAGGATTATATGAAGAAACAAAGATCTCTGTGTATGAGGCAATTGCGATCATTTGTTAGGTCTCAAACAAGCCCTCCAGGAAGCTCAGTGACATTTTAAGGTCACACCCTGTGCACCTTCATTAAGACTGAAAGTATTTCCACAACAAAGGCACACAGTGCACTTAATTTCTATGGGCTGAGGCCCAAAGATATCACAAAAAGGAACATTCTTTAAAGACCTCTGCCTTGGGCTAAATTTACTTTCACAAATTCCGTTGGTAAGTTTCAAAGGATTCAAGCACCTGAAGGAACAATGAGCATCTGAGAAGAACAAGGAAGAGACTTTTACAATTCCCAAGTAACTTCTAGGGGCTGGGGATTTAGCTCAGCGGCACAGCGCCTGCCTGGCAAGCACAAGGTCATGAGTTCAATTCCCAGTACAGGAAAAAAACAAAGTAACTTCTAAGAAAATGTCTCCTAGCATCATAGTCACCATTGCTTCTTGAAGCCCCAACTATCTTGTGTGCCTGTAGAGATCTCCAAACTCTGCACTCTCCCTTAATGTGCCTAGTGAGTGCAGCCCACCTTCTTTCAAAGTGTAAATTTCTCTGCATTTGCTTTACAATAAACCCTAGGGACCCTTCTGCATGGATCTGTCTTGACTCAATTCATTCAACAAAGTTGCAAAGGAGCAGAAGGCAATGGTCAGTTTCACATGGTGTCAAGAACAAGCTTTCTGGTGACAGTTCTACAAGTGCTACGTTATATACACCATTTTCACTCCCTAATCTACAGTGACTCCCTCCTCCCCATGTCACTAAGTGTGGTGCATTAACGACATTCGCACTGGCAATCTTTGCTTGTGCTTAATTGACTAAATAATAATCCTTACTAATGATGATTTACCTGTTATATCTTCAACACACATAGCAGTAATGAGTATTCATTTTCATGTATCTTCATGTATTTGCTCAATTCTCTTTTTTTGCTTGTTTGTTTTTTTGAGACAGGGTCTCACTAGGCACTTCAGGCTGGCCTTGAGCTCACTTTGTAGCCAAGAATGGCTTTGAACTCACAGAGATCCTCCTGCCTCAGCCTCTAGAGTGCTGGGATTACAGGCATGTGCCACCATGCCTGGCTCTTCCATTCTCAAGGTAGGGCAAAAGAAATTAACCCATTGGGTCAAAATATATGCTGTTATATACTCTTTTCAATGTATCTGGGAGACATCTTGAAAGTCAAGGATCAAAAGGCCCAGATTTTGCTATATCTACCTATCTTGAACTTGCTCCTAAATTGTTTTTACTTGCTGCTAAACAAGTGAGGTAAAGAACACTATCACACGGGGCTGGGGATTTAGCTCAGCGGCAAAAGCGCCTGCCTGGCAAGCGCAAGGTCGTGAGTTCAGTTCCCGGTACCGGAGAAAAACCAAAAAAAAGAACACCATCACCATTCAGATTTTTTTAACTACACTTAAATCTGCTCAGTTAGCACCAAGATAAACATCTACAAAGTGGTAGCTCTGACATTAGCCAGTAAGTACACATTTAGTTCATATCAATTAGCTCCACCAGTGCCCATGGTGTAAATGTTATGGAGTGGGGATGCTGGGGATTGAATCGATGGGCTTTGCATTGAGCTACATCTCCAGCCCAGTTTTTTGTTTTTGGGGTTCTTTTGTTTTTTCCTTAGAGACTGGCTGTGCCTAAGTTGCTCAGGGTGAGCTTGAACTCACAATCCTCCTGCCTCCGTCTCTCACAGTGCTAACAGTTCCTAACATCACCTCTGCCTTGGTGTTCTTATTGCCACTACAGCATACAGCACAGGGTCAATTGGCCCTACACTAAACAGTCCCACCCTTGGGGCTGGGGATTTAGCTCAGTGGCAAAGCGCCTGCCCGGCAAGTGCAAGGTCGTGAGTTTGGTTCCCGGTACCGGAGAAAAACCAAAATAAATAAATAAATAAATAAATAAATAAATAAATAAAATAAACAGTCCCACCCTAAGGGAGCTTTCTGAATTTCTTTTTCAAGGGCCAACATTTTATTAGTGTCTTTAACTTATCTTACTTGCACATACTAGAACAAAGGTAGTTTCCCCTGAACACCCCCCACAAAAAAAATCTTACTGAAAAATTTTTCTACTTCTCTGTAATGATAACTGCTTATGAGAATCATAAGACTGGGGTTCCTCAGCTTTTTCTCAAGCTCTCTATGGAAGTTTAAGAATATCCCATAAAATCATAGTTTATGAAGAACTTACTATGTTAAAACTAATCATGTTGGGAGTTTTACATACACTGGCCTCAGAATTTTGACACAGAATGGTCATTGTGTGAGAAAAACATATTGAGACCCACCTGTATGTAAGACCTTTTTCCCTGACTTTTTTTTTGGGGGGGTACAGAAATTGAACTAAGACCTTGCGCTTGCCAGGCAGGTGCTTGTGCCACAGAGCTATGTCCTTGGCCCTTTCTCTTATGCTCTATTTTTGTCTGGAATAGCCAGCCACTCCATCCCACTGATTCAAAGCATGTTGATCTCTAATAATAATCACAGGCCTCCTTGGTAGGTTATGTTAACTTGTTCTCTGGATTAACTCCTCCTTTCTTCCCGATTCTGTCCATGCAAAGGTCTGTGTATGTGGTGTGTGTGTGTGTGTGTGTGTGTGTGTGTGTTATTTAATAAAATATCACTTATTAAGCACCTCTAACTGGCCCACCTAAACAAACTTTTCAAATTAAACTTTCTATTTAACAGTCAAAGATTTTTTTCTTTTTTGAAGGGCAAAAAAATCAATGTGTGGGCTAGTCCTACAGAAATAGTTTTTATATTCAACTTGTTTCCAGGAAGATATACAAGTAAATCTGGCTAATAAAATCCAGAGGAATACACTTACAGGTTGATCGTTTTGCCGAGGGCCACCTGAAGACTGTGTCACAGTGCCATTCCCATCTGCTCAAAAGAAGGAAAATTAATTAGAATTACAAAAATAATTGGAGTTTCACTGCAGACCCTAAATATATTCACGCTGCCTTCTGCTGATGAACGAAAGATGGAATAATAATATGATAGAGTGCTGCAGGCATTGCGACAATCACACCAAGTTATTAACATGTTAGTAATTCATCTTATGATCTTGTGTTTCTTAATGCTTTTGTCATAGCCTCTTTGAAACTGGACTCCTTTTCTTCTTTATGGTCAAAATGCATGCATGCAAAGTTTTGCCTGCAGTTTTAGCAAATCAGAGGAGGGTGTTCAAAGAATGAGGTTAAGACACCACTTAAATGTCATGGAATATTTTCATGCTGGCTAAGAAGCTGTCAGTGAGTGCCCAGAGGCCGTGCACACCTCCAAGGAGCAGATCCACACTATTTAGAGCTGACTTTCCCTGGCTTTACATTCAGATTGAGTGAAATGAATCATATACAAAACAGATGGCATGTAAATCTCAGGATACATGCTAAGATATCCATATTTAGATCCAGAAAAGATTTAGAAAATATGCTATATCAACCACATGATCAATGTATGTTATGGCACATAAGCGTCAGGATTTCATGTGGTATAAGGGACACTGATCTTCAGGTTTCAAACATTCACATTTTTAAAATGTTTTGAAATATCTATTTTGTAACAGAGACTATATAAATTTGTCCTTTTTAGGCATGTATGGGTCAAATACTAAGCACTGTACATCCTAACCACCAGGTATGTAGTCCCATGGGGGAAGAAACAGATATGGAATGTGAAACACGATTCCACTTGTATTATCTAAGGACAGCAGCCCCTGCTGGCAGCTATCATGCATGTTTTCTCATCAAATAGAAACAGGTTGGGTCTGGAAAGTTCCTTTCCTAGTGCAAAAGCTAACAGAGTCCCAACAGAAACAAAATCAGACAGCTCATACTCTACTCAAACACTTACATTTCAACTGGATTAATTCTGAGAGTACAACACATTGAGCTAAGGTCTGCATACAAAGTCTAGGCTCTGCTTGTGACCAGTGGTGATGATGGTACGACCTTCAGAAATCAGACTGGGTTGGGGGTTGCAGTAAAAACCACTTGGACTTGAGTCAGATAAAATTTAATTTCAATTCCTCAGCAATGTAGCATAAACATATAGATATCCATGTGTGTATATTTTTGTATTTCTGAGCCAGGCATGGTGGCACACACATGTAATCCCAGCACTTGGAAGGCTGAGGCAGGAGGATCATTGTGAATTCGAGACAAGCCTGGGCTACAAAGTGAATTCAAGGCCAGCCTGAACTGCATATGAGACTGTGTCTCAAAATGGCAAATTCTGTTTTGTTTCTGTGCCCAGAGGCAGTTAACAGGAAGGTTCCCACTTTTAAAACCAAATATCACCATTATCTACTCTCTACTGACTTCCTCCCTCTGTGACTTTCACTGCAGCTCCATTGTAAATTCACCAATTTCCAGGAAGGTGTGGCAAAGGGTAGGCCTGGGGAAAGGGACCCACAGGCTGGGGACTTCTCAGAACAATGAATCACTGGTATACAACCCTCCCCCCACTCTGCAGGACGGGATCCTGTCTGGATGTGGCACAGGCTCAAGGACACTTAAGCCAGCTCTGAGTCACAAAGTTCAGCATATGGTGCTCTCAAAACTTAACAGTAGGGGGTCAAAAGGGAGTTAGTGGGAAAGATGACAGGCTTCAGGGAAAGATGACCATTTTCCAGCTAGGAAAGACAGGTCCATTCTACAGCTCCAAATGGTGGAACCTGCCCAGAGCTGGGGCAGAGGGCCGTTGTGTGTACAGAAGCAGCATCTCAGCACAGCCTGCTTGGTGTGGTGCTGTCTGTCTTAGTCTGCTCAGGCTGCTGTAACAAGATGCCTTGGCTGGGGTCACTGATAAACAGAAGAAATGCACTGATCTCCGTTCTAAAGGCTGGGAAGGCCAAGGTCCAGACACAGGCTGAGTGGGTGCCTAGGGAGGGTTTCCTTCATCATAGATGACACCTTCAGTGCATCCCCTTTAAGGAGGAAAGGATAAACAGGCTCTCTCTGGTCTCCGCTATAGAGGAACTAATCCCCCAGATGTCCCACTTACCTCTTAATACTCTTGCACTGGGGATTAGATATCAGCATACGAAACTGAGGCATGACATGAATACTAAGTCTACAGCAACAACTCAGAACACCCATGTAGATGCAAGTGTGAGAGCAGGGCAGCCTCCGGGCCACATTGAGGATCTGGGACTTAGAGGTATGAATGACCCACGTGGTTAAGCTCAGGAACAAGCTTGGAGCCAAGACTGGCTGATGTGATTTTTAAAAAGTAGAGTAATACATACATAGCAGATGCTCCTAAGGCACACAAGCTTGCGGTACTACCCCTATGGATTCTGGGTTTTTGGCTAATGGAGCAGATGATTACTGCCGGAGCCCCTCATCTCACTGAATCTTCATAATCAGTCTATGAGATCAGGGTATTACATTTATTTTACAAATGATGAAATAGAGTCAGAGAAGGTAGACATTGGCACAAGTCACATCACTGACTTGCGTGGCCAGAATCAGAACTCAAACCAGATTCATTTTATTCCAGAGCTTGTGTTCTCAGTTAAGTCAGTGGCTACCAAGTTCTACATGCTCCCATGGTTCAGGACATAGAATGCAGTTACCTTCTTGGCTTGATTCCGGGGAGGTGAACAGCTGAGTCTCTGTTTCCTGAAGTGTTGTAGGCTGGGTTTCCACTGCTTGAGTTGGAACAGGTGGAGAAGGTTCTAGAATGGGAAATAATAGAAGTATGTTCCATTTATAGAGAGAAATATTCAATCCCTACAAAAACAAAAGAGAGGCCAGGCACAGTGGTACAAGTTTATAATCCCAGCACTCGGGCAGCTAAGGGAGGTGGATCACAGCAGGTCGAGGTCAACCTGGACTACACAGCAAGATCCTGTCTTTAAAAACCAATAATACCCAGGTGTGGCAGTGCACACGTATAATCCCAGCACTCGGGAGGCTGAGGCAGGAGGATCATTGTGAATTCAACACCAGCCTGGGCTACAAAGTGCGCTTAAGGCCAGCCTGAACTACATGGTGAGACTTTGTCCCAAAAAGCCCAGAAATTAAATAAATAAATAAATAAATAAATGCTAAACTATAAATTACCATCAATTTCCCCTAGTACCTTTACCCAGCCTTCTTATGGGGTATGGTATCCACCTACTCACTTCTAGCCCTTATAATTCTTCTTAGAAATTTGTTGAAATTTGGCTTCCAAGTTAAAATGACCTCTGGACACTGAATGGCTACCTAGTTATTTCATTGCCATATAGGAAATTTGATCTATATATTATTGTAAAGAGTTTTGTCAGTATATAAAATTACTCCCTATTTTCTATACTCCTAGACCCCTATACTCCCTCTAAATGTACAAAGCCTATAAAACTGCATCTCCCATGGAACTTTAATACAAATGATATTTTAGTTTCAGTGAATAGGGTTGGGGAGTTTCCACTAACATGTCCTAGCCCACTCATAATAGTCTCAATCTGGATTTCCTAGGTATATTCAAGTCTAGGTTGTCTACCTCTCTCTTCAGGGAGACAGAATAGTGACCAACTCAGGACACATATACTATTTTCTGCCTTGGCTGGGCATGGTGCTGCATGCCTGTAATCCCAAAACTCAGGAGGCTGAGGCAGGAGGATTGCTACGAGCTCCAGGCCAGCCTGGCCTACAAAGTGAGTTCAACACTAGCCTGAACTGTAGAGTAAGACCCTATCTCAAAAACACACACACTACTTTCTGCCTCGATGTCTCTCCAAGGTGACAATATTGCTCAACATCTTGGACTAGGTACTGATTTGCAGGCCTCAAAGCTATGTTCCTGGTAGAAGCTGGTCCCACCTCCTTCCGCATCTGCATGCTTGGCATTCTTTTTTTAAGAGTAATTTCCTGAATCATCATGTATTTCTCATTGAAAAGACTCCACTGGGAATTCTCTAACATGGAGCTGTGTCACTTTTCTTTCCTTAAACTTTAACTTTTTTCCGAATACATAGCCTGCCTTCCTTGCAGAGTTCACCACTTGTCTTTTTGAGGCATTCACATGACTTCCGTCTCCCAGAACCCACAGAATAGCGGGTCAAGTTCACGGCAGTGTCTGGATAAGAACCCCTCAATCCGGCCTTTCCTAAATGCTCCTCGCCAGTCTTTGTTCCCTCTTCCTGCTACAGCTGAGATCACTCTACATTTCAGCATCACCCTTTCTCATGTTCTGAACTGTTTCCTGTTCTCTCTAACACTCAGAACGGTAAGAGGGTGTGGCTGCCTTTAGGAACTAAAAAAAGGCAATGCAACAGAGTCAGAGGGTCAGGCTTTGCCCAATTTAGCCCTGCACAAAATTCCTCCAAGCATAAATCAACATCTTCCTCTACAGCGTCTTTCTCTCTTTGACAACTGTACATGCAGAGATTCCAGGATTATTTTTGTGTATATCCTGCTGAAGAGAGCACTCTGTCACTGCTTTAGGCAGCTCCCATGAGCCTAGGCAGAGGCGATTAAAAAGATAAGTGTCCCTGCATTAGTTTGGCTGGAGTGTTGACTGCCTCTCTGTACTGTAAAGTTCAATTCTAAACTCAAACTCATTAGGAAACTATCAGGATAAGAATAAGGCAGGTATGATGGTACAGAACTGTCATCTCATCATTTGGGAGGCTGAGACAGGAGGACTGCCACGAATGTGAGACCAGTCTAGGCTACACAGTGAGTGCAAGCCAGCCTGAGCTGTACAGTGGGAGCCTGTCTCAAAGAACACCAAAAAAAAATGAAAGAAAGAAAGGAAAACCTCAACTCAAAATACCGTTCAGGTCATATGGACACATAAACCAACACCTCTGTCTACATGTCTGCTTTCAGTACAGTCAATAACTTATCCATGTTCTCCAAACCAAGTCCGTGAATCTGTCTAATTTAGCAGACACAAGCAAGTTTTAGAAAGCTAAGTCAATACTGAGAAAGTCTCACAGATTCTCCAGTGTGTTCAGTTGCCTGGAACAACTGAAAGCTGAAACAGCTGAAAGCTGTTATTCTCACAAATTTTTATGGCTCTAAAATCCCAGTCATAACCTACAGCCCCATCTTCCAAACTCAGCTCATAGCCCAGCCCTCCAGATCCCTCTTATGCACATGGCTCAGTGGGAGTCATGGGAAATCCATATGCTCCGTCCTACTTTTCAAGCTAAGAGCCTGTGAAATTTCTGTTGCTGCTCAGAATCCAGAGCCACTTCAAGGGGTCAAAGGCTTTCAGGGAGCCTTTGAGAATCTCCATTACAAGTGATCTTTTTAATCCTGGAAATAGGAGATTTGAACCTATTCTTGTCGTCTGGATGACAAGCTAGCTTTTCACTTGTGTGTCATTTTCTATTTGGTTTATATCTAAACTCTTTTCTCTGTGGAATTTGAGGTGTGAAACATGTGACATGAATACACAACACAAATATGTACTTTCTAAACCTCTGAAGTCCATAAATTCCATATTTACTTTTTTCATGAGTATAAATACTGTCTTTTGCAATTTCTATGCCACATAAATAGATAAGTGGTCACTGAAGCACAATTCTATAAGGCAGTGACTGCTCCAAAAATACTGGGTAGTTTTATAAATTATTTGTCAATGACAATGTAAAAATCGAACAAATTCATTCACACCCAAAGCACAGTGGTTGTGACAGGAAGCATGATTCTTAGCTAGAAACAAAGGACCCACATTCAAATGAACAGAAATTGAATGCTAACTCAACTACTCTCTATCTTTATGATTTTGAACAATGAGGTTTTAGACTCTGTCTTATTTCTCATCACTATAAACTCCATTTGGTGCACACCTGTAATCCCAGCACTCAGGAGGCTGAGGCAGGAGAATCGTTGTGAGTTCGAGACCAGCCTAGGCTACAAAGTAAGCTCAAGGCCAGCCTGAACTGCACAATGAGACCTTGTCTCAAAAAGATATAAATAAATAAATAAATAAATAAATAAATAAACAAACTCCATGTGAATCACCCCTGTAATGGCAAAATTAGCCTGAGATTTAAATAAAAGCATGCAGCCTGGAGCCTGGTGCACAGAGTAATTTTAATTTCATTGAAATATGATCCTCATTTGCAAGGCCCAACTTCAGCATTGCCTGCACGACCCCAAAGCTCATTAGCCTGGCTCCTGTTCCCTGGCATTTCCTATTTTCTCATCACAGAGCCAGGCCCAGGTGGGTGAGACCCACACGGGTATCCTAGATCCACGGGCCAACCCTTCCTAGCTGATAAGGGATCCCTTTGAGAATCTGATCAAAGGCACCGGGTGCCCTCACTCATCAAATGCTTCCACCTGTGAAAGGTGCACATCCTTTGAGAAGAGGGGAGGACACAGACCTTGAGAAGCCCATGTGCTGAGCCCAAGTCAGAACGCTCACGCTCCATGGTACTTCTTAACACGATGCCCTGTATGCTCTACACCTCCCTGGGAAGGCCCCTGGGGTCCAACTCACACCTTACCTGTTTCATTGCTCTGTGTGTGCGCTGGTGCTGGAGGAGCAGAAGCGGAGGAGCGGGCTGATGTGGGAACACTTGTGGGCTCGGCTGGAGCTGGAAATCGAGACAGAAGCAGAGATTAGAGGAGCAACAAGAAACATGAGCCTCCAACTGGAACTGTAGCCGAGCACATTGATGATGGACTGTCTCTAGCTGGGGCTGTTTGTCCTGGACTTGGTCCTCACCAGTGTCCAGCTGGACACGCAGACAGGGCAGGGCTGTGCGGACATGCCAGGAGTAAAGTGCAGCAGCTCCACTGGCAATGAAGTACTCAGGGGATAGAAACCCTCAGTTCATTCTTGCATTGAAGTTCCCTTTAGACCCGTCAGAGGGAGGTTGTTTGGAGTCACACAGTGCCTGGCATGTTCTATAGCGCCCCACCTGGGCTCCAGTTCACACTTTACCTGTTTTGGGGCTCCATGTGTCCACTGATATTGGAGGAGCCGTAGAGACTTGAGGTGTTGTTAGAAGTCTTGTGGTCATGGCTGGAATCAGACATCAACATGAAAGGAGAGAATAATCAAGCCACAAAAAACAAAAGCCTCCTGCTCCAAGCAGGATCCACAACCTCCCATCTGGACAGCAATTCACACTTTACCTGTTTCGCTGGTCTGCGTCTGTGCTGGTGTTGGAGGAGCCGTGGAGACACGAGGTGTTGTTGGAACTTCTGTGGTCGTGGCTGGAGCTGGACATCAGCATGAAAGCAAGAGTTAATGGAACAAGAAGAGACAAGAGCCTCCTGTCTGGAGCTGGACAGCAACATGAAAGTAAGAAGTGATGCAGCAAGAAGAGACAAGAGCCTCCTGCCTGAACTGCAGCTGAGCACAGCGATGGCAGACTGTCTCTAGGCAGAGCTATCTCTCCTAGACCTGCCCTTTGCTAATGGCCAACCAAAATGTCCGAGAGGGGAGTGCTTTGGAGACATGCTGGGAGTGGAGGGGAGCAGCTCCACTGACAGTGAGATATTCAGGAGATAAAAAGCCACATCTCATACTTGCACTGATGTCTCCTTTAGAAGACCCATCAGAGGGTGAGTGTTGGAAGTCACACAGTGCCCTGTATGATGTACGGCCTCCCACCTGGGCAGCAACTCACTTTACCTGTTTCGGTGGTCTGCGTCTGTGCTGGTGTTGGGGGAGCCGTGGAGACACGAGGTGTTGTTGGGACTTCTGTGGTCGTGGCTGGAGCTGGACATCAGCATGAAAGCAAGAGTTAATGGAACAAGAAGAGACAAGAGCCTCCTGTCTGAACTGCAGCTAAGCACAGTGATGACACCGTCTCTATGCAGGGATATCTCTCCTGAATTTGGCCTTTGACAATGGCCAGTAGCAGCCCTGAAAGCAGAGGGCTTTGGAGACATGCTGAGGGTGGAGAGGAGCAGCTGCACTGAAAACTACATATCTGGGAGATGATATCACATATCTCATTTGCACTGAAGTCCCTTTCTGAAAACCCCTCAGAGGGAAGGTGTTAAGAGTCTGGGACTGTGCTTTGTCCTCTCAGTGGCAAGTGACTGACTTGAACAGTGTTTCCGAGACCAGCACATTTACCAAACAGTGTCCACTTCTGTCAGACCTATGGAAAACACCCAAGAGACCAGTATCTGAGCTAAAGGCTCACTCCTGCCCATCAGCCTATGCTAGATCATGTGCAGGGCCAGCAGCAAAGATCTGCACATTGTTTCGAGGGCAGGCAAGACCCTGGAAGGTTTCTTCCCACCTGACATTTACACCCTTCTTTGGAGTATCCCTTCTCCAAAATGCTTGCGATATTTGCATACGCATAATGAGATACCTAGGAAGTGGGACTCAAGCCTAAATATGAAATTTACTCATGTTTCACATGTTCTTTATACACATAAAGGTAAGTTTATATAATACTATACTTTTCATAATTTTCTACACGAAACAGTTTTCATAGTGTGAAATTATCCATTTGTGCTGTCATACCACTGCTCAAAAGATTCAGATTTTGGAGTGTGGTGGATTTTGGATTTTTGCATTAGAGACGCACAATCTATGCTTTATGAATTGACAGCAGCAGAAATATGTAAGAAGCCACACAGCTCACTGAAGCTCCAGGAGCTGTGCAGAGAGCTGAGACAAGAATTAAACCGCAACAGAGGACCCAGCACAAAAGCAGAGTCATGAAAGGAATGGATGAAGCATGTGCAAAGAGTCCCTAAAGAAGCCACACCTGCACTGCGGAGCCCGCAGACTGACCTTGGCTGAGTAGAACACTGGAGATGTGCAAAGATGGAGTGCCACAGATCAAGGTATCTTGATTTATCTTTGCTTCACACACACAGGTTTTGTTTGGTAGTAGGAGGGGTACAACCCAGGGCCTCCTGCATGCTAGGCAAGCACTCTACTACGGAGCTATATCAGAAGCCCCAGTTTTGTGACAAGGTCATGCTAAATTACCCAGGCTGGATTCAAACTTGGGAACCTCCTCTCAGCCTCCCAAGTAGCTGGGATTGTAGGTGTGTACTGCCACACCTGGCATTAGTCCTTTTTTAGAAATGTAATCTAGAGGGGGAAAAAAAGCAAACATGCCAAAAATTTGGTTAGAAGAACTCAATGGAAAGAAAAACAAACGAGGTGTGGTGGCGCACACTTATAATCCCAGCACTAGGGATCTAAGGAAGGAGGATCACTGAGATTTCAAGGCCAGCCTGGGCTACAGTAGTGAGACCCTTCCTCAAACAAAAAAAAAAAAGGAACTTGTACTTTTAGTTTTTTGAGGAATCTCCATGCTGATTTCCACATTGGTTGCACCAGACTACACTTCCACCAGCAGTGTAGAAGGTTTCCTTTACCCTACAGCCCAGCTAACCTTTGTAATTGGTTAATTTCTTATTCTTTTTGGGGGGGGTGCTGGGAATCGAACTCAGGACCTTGCGCTTGCCAGGCAGACGCTTGTGCCACTGAGCTATATCCCCAGCCCTATAATTGGTTAATTTCTTGATGATAGGCATTCTTTTTGCAGTGAGATAGAATTTCAGTGTTGTTTTAATTTGCATCTCTTGAATAACTAATGATTTGGAACTTTTTTTCCTATATGTATTTGCCATTTCTACTTCTTCATCTGAGAATCCTCTATTAATTTTAGATGCCCTTTTTTGGATTAGGTCTTTAAATTTAGGGACTCTTACTTTTTTTTTGAGTTCTTTATATATTCCAGATATTTGTCCTTTGTCTCAGGAAGAGCTGAAAAAATTTTACCGCTCTGTGGATTGTCTATTCACTCTCTTGGTGGTCTCTTTTGCTGCGCAAAAGCATTTAAATTAGATGAGATTCCAGTTGTTGCTTCTTTGTGATAGTTCCTCTGCAGCTACAGAAATCAGTGTGACAGTTCCTCAAAAAACTAAAACTAGAGGTTTCATTTAACTCAGATATTCTGCTTCTTGGTATCTTCCCCAAAGAATTAACAGCATTATACTACAGCTATATATCACACCCACGTTTATAGCAGTGCAGTTTGTAACAGGTCTTAGAAACAGCCCAAATGTCCATTAGGCAATGACTGGATAAAGAAGATGAGGTTCTTTTACATAATAGAACACTACTACTCTTATGTACTCTGTACATAAGAAGGACAAACTTGACAGATTTCTATGCAAAAGGGTGCACTTTGAGACTATACTCTTAAGTGAACTAAATTGGACACACGTGTTCAAATTTCACACATTTTCTATGGTATGAGAAACTCAAAGTATAAATAAGGACTAAAATATATGATAGATATTGGGAAATAGGAAGCAGATATTCCAGTGGAAAGGAGAACTAGGAAGGGTGGAGGGGAAAGGAAGGAATGAAGAGGAAAGCAAAGAGAAAAGAAGGACAAAGTGGAAACAAAGCTTTTATAAATAAGGAGAGAAAGAGAGGTTGAAGGGACAGGAATGAAAGAAAAAGAAGAATCAAGATAGACCATGTACAGGTACAAATTCCCTATGATGAATGTTAGCACTATGTGTATCTAAAACATATCAATAAAAGTAAAACTATACAACTACATAAATGCATACATTAACAAACAAAAAGAAACAAAAATACAAAAGAGGAAAAAGCCTCAACAGCTTACAGAATTTTCTTTTTTTTTTTTTTTTGGTTTTAGTTTTTTTTGCTTTTTTGGTTTTTGTTTTGTTTTTTTTTTTTCCAGTACCGGGAATTGAACTCATGACCTTGTGCTTGCCAGGCAGGCACTGTGCCACTGAGCTAAATCCACAGCCCTTTTTTTCTTTCTAAAAAAATTTTATTGGTACATTTTTGCAGTATTTAATGCCTACATTAATTTTGGGACATTGGTACATGTATAACAGATCTCAATTCTTTTTTTCCCTTTTCCCTCTACTCTTGATTTAAATTTCATTTCTTTTAGCTAGCATAAGATTCATTTTTGAATAAATCTTTATCATGTTAATCATCATAAACAGACTAACAGCCAGACTACAGGCCAAAAACATAAAATGCGTAAGACGATTATACTAAATCAAAGTGCACTTTTAGATGTATTGGCCATGCTGGATTATAATAACTCTTTTCCTCT